AACTGCGCCGCGTGGTCGGTGGGGGCGGGCAGGTGGCTGCCCGGCGTGCCGAACCGGTGTTAACCGCGGCGTTTGCTTCCCCCGCAGCGTTGACGGTGCGGTTCCTGACCAGGCGCTTCATCGGGGAGTACGCGTCCAGCGCCGGTGAGCGGGGCGCCGCGGGGCTGGGCTGGCCGGGAGGTGCCGCCGGAGGCTCCTTGTTCTCCCGTGGGGCTCTGCTGCGTGGGTTACTGCGGTAATGGAGGGTGAGGTGCTTTTTGAAATAAGTGTGCTCACTTCCAAAAAATTAAAAACCAAAAAAAAATCACTTCCTCAAGTTCTACCAAGATTAAGTTTCAGTTTACTTATCACTGAGGGTCCCTGAGTAAACATCAGCTGTGGAGCCTAGGAAAGGCAAGCCAAATATTGGTGGAGTGATCACTCAAGGCTTGGGTAGTGCATTAGGTAGGGGAAGTGCTTGTCACAAAGAGGCAGTGAAGGGACTTAAAGGTAACTGAGATGCATGCATGAGGCTTGGGTAGGTTATGGTAAGTTCACTCAAGATAAAGATGACAGTAAAGAAATAGATTAAAAGAAAACTTGTTCTATTGAGTATCTCCTTATCAGGCCTACAGCAGAGGTGAAAGATTCCTTATCAGGCACTAGTGGTTACTCAGACCATAATGTGAAGCCCCCTGCTCTTGCAGGAACACAAGAAGTGGAAAGTCTTGCCATGCTGAGGATTGAATTTCTCATTCATATTGGAATAAATACACTGATCCTTAAGACACTCCTAAGATCTTGGAAAATGGCAAAACAGGACTTGAACTTTCATGTCTTGCACAGAAGCAATATAGGTACTATTTAACTGGTCTGTAGACAACTTTGGAAGTGTGCCATTCCAGTTGATGTGGCATCAGAAGCCCCAAAACTTAGTAAACACAGAAGATTAGTATAGAAGGAGAGGTAAATAGCAAAGTGAAGAGCAAAGGGAGGGATGCTTTTTTTTCCTCAAAAAGCTTTTTTTAAACAAAAAAATCAGAGTAGCCTTCCATATTCCATGAATAGCAGCCCTAAACTAGGTTTCAGTTATGCATCCAACTGAACTTACTCTAAAAGTAGAGTTACATAAGTTGTTTACCAGTGTTGTTACCACGCAAACACAGACTGGAAAGACAGTTTGTGTCCCAGATGGTTTAAAATCTAAACTTTTAAATGGAAGTTGCATACTGCTTTCTATGCTCTGAATGCATCCTAAACCACCTACAACTAAGAACAGGTTTCATTGTTCTGAGACTCCCAATACTGCAAACTTCAGAGGAGACAAGTATAATCCAAAAAGAATCAAAGCCATTTTCATTTGTAAACCGATGTTTGTTGGAAGATAAATTTAGCCTTCCTCCTAGAAAGAAGGAGGGGGGAGAAAAGGAATATGGATGATAAACTATAGAACATACCAGAACACTTAGTGCAGTCAAAAGTATTAATTAAAAACTTGTTTAATTATGAAAACCACTGATGGCTGCAGGTTTGATACCATGGCATATTTGGGACTGATAACCATCTGATATGAACAAAGACAAGCATGAAGTATGCTTGAGATGAACATGGTGCTGAACAGAAGACACTTAGTCTTCCAGAGATAGTAACCCTTATCTATGCCACACAGACATGTGAAAAGTTTGAATTATATTTTCAGTAGTGCCAATACTAATTCTTGTCCTTGTAGCTCAGTAACTCAGAGGAATTGTACTGCAGACAGCCTGCTGGCTACCAGGACCACGAATGCGAGTTGATTACACTTCCTTAGAACAAACTGTTGTTCCAAACAATAGTGGTGGTCTGTCTGCAGTAGAGTTCCCGGGGCTGCTAGTGCTGCTAGAGAGTCTTAAATCTGAGAGTTCACGTTACAGAATACCTTAAGATCCAATCTAAGGGACATGATTCTGTAAATTCCACTGGTCTAAGTCTACTTAGTATGAGAACTCCCAATAAAGTACTAAATCTGATGGTAAATAAGCATTAGTACAATTATACCAATGCATATTACCAAACAGTGACTGCTGGGAAGAGTTAGCACTTACTTATAGGCTAGCTCATTACTTCCATAATTGTGAACCTTGATAATAAGGCAAGTAGTGTCATCTGCATTTAGCTGATCATGACCATTTTGCATCCCCTTTGCATCCATTTTTGGAAGGAGAAAATCAGGGTCTAACGACATTCTTCACAGCAGCACTTTGTGGGAACACAACAGTAAATGGAACTTGGCCAGCCATAGCATGAAGGGATCGGGCAGCTCAGGTGCTGAAAAATGAATGGGTTTGTTTCCAGCTTAAAAAATAAATAAAGGAAGTGCACCAAAGCAGAGGAACTAAATAGTTCCTCAGTATTAGATAGCAAATCTCACTTTCATTGTTCTTTCTTCACTATCACCTTCAGGCTCTCTAATGCTGGCTTTCTTTTAATGCAATACATCTTTTTAGAATGCATCTACACTAAACACTTATGCCTGGATGGGAGGCAGATACACTTGGAAATTTATGACCCTTGTTCAGAGGTAAGAATTTTAAGGGCCAAATAAAAGCGGTTCCTCATTCTACCTGTGCAGTGGTAGAAGGGGGTGGGGGTGGGGGAACCCAAGCTTGCTGTCTGTTCTTGGAATTTGTACTTGCTATTTTAATCAGGAATGACTGAAATTTCATAGTTGCTATGGCTCAGTATTCTTCCACTTTATGGAAGAAGTAATTTCTGTGTAAATGCTTTTGCATTTTTGGAATACTACTAACAGTAACTTCTCCTGCTCTCATGTTACACAGTTAAATATATAGCTATAGATATGTTATATCTATATATTTAAAACTATCTATATAAAAATTATGCAGTTCCATTGTATCATATCTCCCAAGTGACTGAAATTCAGTTTCTAAAGCAAGTAATGTGTTAAATAGTTGTAGAAATAGTCAAAGTAGATAGGCCTGGAAACAAGACTTACATTCACAGAACAGCTCAAAGGCAAACTTCTACATGCTGAGTTGAATGTTGACCACAGTAAAACACCTGGAAATAAAGTTTTAATTTCTTTTTTCCTTTTTTACCGTCCCAGAAATAGGGAGAGTGTGGTACTCTGTAATAACATGCAGACCTAGATAGGTCTGGCTAGTTAATCACATTACCTGTCCGGAAGGGATCCTTGTGAGCTAATCTTGCCTCTTACCAACTAGCACAATGAATGCCAAATCTGAACAACTGAAAGTCTTACTCAGAGTGAAAACTCAACCCAGTGAGCACAAAAAACCAAACCCCAAAACAAAACTGTCCTCCTCTGGGACATGAAACAGCACCCTGCATTTGGGAACAAAAAGGAAATGACTTTAATTTCTCACAGTATCCATCTTGTGTGCTCCATTTTCCTGGGCAGCAGATCTAGATGAGCATCCTGGCTCCTGATTTCCCAGCATTTTGTCACAGAGCAATACAGACTCTGAAACAGCCATTATGCCATGTTACAGTATTCCATGGAGTCCTCCTTTGCCACACCATTTATCAGAAACTACTAATCTATGGACTTGCTCCCACTTACCTCAGACCTCTCTCCTTAAGCTTACCTATAGTTTTCACTTATTAAGTCCTTATTAAGTCATATTAAGTCCTGTGGCATGTGAATGACCTCTTAATAAATTGCTTAAAACATTGGCAACAGCAGCTAGCTAAGGCAAAGCAGACTCATGATGGGCAGTGAGATCGGCTGCTACACCCTGGGCACCCTCTTTCCTTTTGAAACAGGAGATCAGCTGTGGTGAAGGGCAGCTCCTGTTTCTGGCTCTCATCTTGTGCCAGTTCATCCTTAGGAATCAGGCCTGACTTTGGCTGTTTGCCACCTTTTGCTACTCTGCTGCTGACTCCTCCTTAGCTCCTGCAGCGGAAGAGGTAGTGAGTAGGAGGGGAGGTGGTGGTGTCAACTTTTGTGAGAGAGGACTGGTGATACCAGAAGGAGATGGATAGGGAATGGAGGTCCTGTATCTCATGAGAGCTGGGGAAGAAGAGTAGGTCTTGAGAGGAGGCCAAGCTGGGGAAGAAAAATTCTCCATTTTTCTCTCTACTTCCTGAAATCTTGCTGCTTGCTAAGGTTTCCTTCTGGTATCTGGATCTCCACTCTGCAAAGTCCCCTCTCCCCTGATCTGTCTGGGAAGCAGCCGTCACATGTCATCTTTCCTGCCCTCCTGCTGCAGTTGCAATAAAATTCAAAAACTTTTAATAAAGTCACTGAAGTCTTCAGACAGTTTGGGAAACTTATGTTTCATCTCTTCTTTCTCATGCATCTCCCTTTCCTGCTAGTACTCACTTCTGACTTCTCATGTTAAGTTACACCCTTCCTAGAACAGCTGTGTCTATGGTGCTGCCCTAATGCAGAGCTAATTTAGACAACCGGAGGGAGGAGTGGAACTGGATGGGGGCAGTTATATGTTATAAAGAGCAAAAGGTTGAGGTAAACTCACAAGGGAACAACTTAAACGGTTCTGAAATTGCTGCCCAGCAAAGCAAGCTGTTCAGGGAAATCTGAAATCAGGAACATTTTTATCCTCATGCCAGTGCAGAAGACAATCAATCAGCTTAAAAAGTTCTAGTTTCTTGGGCAGCTGCCAATATTTTAGCTGTCCTAGGTCACATGGTCTTGCTAGCTGGTGCTAAACTACAAGGATAAACTAATTTGAAATTAGTTGAAATGCCATTTCCTTAGCTTAACAGGGCAGTTTGCAGCAGTTGCTTTCTAGAAACTGTAACAATGGTACTTTCTTAGGGTGGAGGAACCCAAAGACTGGTATAACCCTCATTATCACTGGAGTGACTTTTGTCACCTGTTGTATTAAAGTCAACTGCAGCCTGAAAGGAGATCTTCCATCCCTGCAGAAACTTATCCCAAGCATAAATTATTTTCAGACTTGAAAAGCACAGAGAAAGCTCAGAAGAAGTGAGTAGGAACAAAGAATTTAAAACAAATTCATTAAGCTCACTATGATCAGAATACTAGGGGTATGCAAAACCAAGCCATAATTATACATCCAACAAATACTGATGGCCAACTTTTCAGTCTCCTGTAACAATGCAGAATATTCAGCGTAACTCTGCTGAAAGCCATGGCTGTAGAGTTAATACAATTTTACCACTAAACAAAGTAGAGGTGTTTATAATGAATTTGTCAATGATGCAAAGTGCTATCTGTAGCGACAGTTATTCATTAGGCCTTGGGAGCAGGACGCACCTGAATTCAGTGCTGGCACCTAGACCTGCAGTGAAAGATGCAACGTTCTCCATTTGCAGTGACAAAGAGAATACTCTGAAGTGACAACAGTAACCTTCTTTTTGCATGTGAATTTGATCTTCTTTCAAGCGCAGCGGGGGAAGTTCTCCCTCACAGACGAGCTCCACTGGGCTGATGGGTTTATCATCGTTTATGACATCAGTGACAGAGCATCGTTTGCATTTGCCAAAGCACTGCTGTACAGGATCCGCGAGTCTCACGTAGGAGCCTGTAAAAAGTAAGTGGCATTGTTTTTGTTTCCCTCAAACAAATAAAACAGCCATGAACATTTCTGTGAGCTGCAGGCGTCCTAGTAGCAATTAAAATCCAGTTGGGTCCTAGCAGCATAACCCAATACCAACAATAAGATACTTGAAGGCAAACTCTTGCAAATTCCAATCTATTTTGCTGTGTCCAAAGCCAAATACACGAGGATTTTCATTCGTATTTCTTACAGCGCTACCATTTCAATAACTGCCACTATTCTGTCTGCTGTGATTCACATGGGTAAAAAAAAAAAAAAAAGCTGGCACAGTCACCCTGTGCTTCTGCTTCCCCACTCAGTTACCAGTGAAGATGCACCAGTTGGAGTTTGAAGAAAGCTCTTCCCCCAATTAATGAATTTAACAGTATTCATTTCTCCTGAACTGCCTTTAGTGGTGGTGCCAGTGTTGTTTATACACGTGGCTCACTGTATGGTGAGAAATAAACTACTTCCAACAAGAGCAACCAAAACTGTAAGAGTCTGAATATATGTGGTGGTCTGTAATCTTGCATGAAGTTGCTGAGACTCTTTCAAAATAAATGACAACAAAATCCTTTTCTTATATCAGCAGTGAGGTAAATAATTTTTAATACTTCTCTCTCTGTTTTACTGCTGACCTTCCTTTCATAGCATTTCTTTAGAAGAAGGTATTGTAGCAAAATCCTTTGAATTAGGATTGCTGTTTTCTCTTCTGAATTGGGCCATTGACACTGATGTTAAATTTGTCTCTCTGACTCTATTCTCCCATCTACAAACGGAGATAACATTCAGCTTGCTTCTTTGTGAAATCCAGGAGCTGAAAATACTCAGCCTTGTATGAGAACTGTAATGGAAGAAAAATACATACAATTACTAGAGAGAGAAACTAAAATGAGAACTTCCTGATAGATGTCTTAAGAATTTTTTGGCTGGAAAACACTGAATTTTGACTCTGGCCAATGGAAAACTATAACATTACCTGGAAAGGTTATATGACTTCTCCCCCGCTGCCCATTCCTGTTATCCTGAAGTACAGCTTGCAGATACACAGTATATAGTACAGAATTCAGCACAGTAATACTAATATATATATATATGGTATTGAAATGGCATTTGAGAGAGCACTAGAAAATGTATTATATACAATTACTATTATCTTTTCTCTAATCAGAACCTTTGTAATTTCAGAATGGCAGAGTCAGCAGTGTTTCTGGTTGGTAACAAGCAAGATTTATGCCACATGAGGGAAGTCGGCTGGGATGAAGGACAAAAGTTGGCAATGGATAACAAGTGCCAATTCTGTGAACTGTCTGCAGCAGAACATTATCAGGAAGTTGTGGCAATGTTCATGAAAGTCCTGAGAAACGTTACCTCAAATCTCAAAGTGAAGGAAAAGAGACGACCAAGTGGATCAAAGTCAATGGCCAAGTTAATCAACAATATGTTTGGAAAGAGAAGGAAATCCGTGTAAAATGTGGTTATTCTTGAAGTAAGAAGAAGCTGAAATAATGGAGCACAGGCAGCACTTGGGATTCAGTCAATTTCTTCTAAAGATCTCTGTTTGGAGGGACAAGACAGTACAAACCAAAGATGGGAGACAGCGTGGTCAAGTGGACAGGGTCTAGACCTGGAAGACCCCCGCTCCTGTTTCCAGTTCTACTATAGACTTACTGCGTTAGGGCTATGTCGCTTAGTCTCTAAGCTGCGCTTCTCACCCTTTGTCTCATAAGCTGTTTGGAGAACGAGAGTTTCACCTTGCATTTATTCAAAATGAAAGCTATCTTGAACGGAGCTTCCAGGTGTGACTGTAACAATTATTTCCAATAAATTCACCCTTGTACTCAGCCTTGCTGACCAACAGTCCTGCTTCTGAACTCTGAGATGTGCTTGTTCTTTACTGCAAGAACACCTGCACTAAAGGAAAGCAAAATACTGCTACTGTATGCAACAGCATTTTTGTATTTAACTCGAGGAAGAAAGACTCGGAACATCACGTACTTGAGGGTGCTGACACCTGCTAAAATGAATTAAATGCTTAGACACAAAATATACAAAAGGTATTTAACAGCAAAGCTGCTTGCCCTTGCAGAGGTACCAGAAGCAGGAAAGCAGACAAACAAGCTAGCATTGCCTCCTGTTCCAGTGTTATTTTTGAGTGATGAAAGAACGTAGAGAGGGCTGAGGAGGGTAGGAACTGAAAAGTCACGGAGCACTGGACTGGTTTTGGCAAGGGCACTGCTTAGAGAAATCATTTAGAGCTAGGGCCAGTATAAGGTCAGTGTAACTTCTTGGGTCAGTGCAACTTCTTGGGCTGATTCCCTTCACAGAGCCATTTTCATCTGCTGTAACAACGTTTACTTACCTGTAACATGGATATATGCCTGTTCACTGTTAGATGTGAATGGACCCTTGTAAAGCACATGTACACGCCCTGGTACAGAGCACGAGTTACTGCCTGCAATTAAAGGTCAGCCTGCTGGTAAGACCTGTGCTCCTAACTCGCATGGAATGTTTTTCCGAAAGGACCTATGTTTTTAAAACCTAGTCATTGCTATGGTATTGAAATGCCATTTGAAAGAGCACTAAAGAGTATGTTAGCTACACTTCCCAAATGTGGATATTAAACATCAAACAGGCCTAAGTATGTTGTCAATTGACATTCAGAGCTCTTACTGTAGATTTAACTAATTAAGGGCTTAGCCCAGCATGTTTGAAAGTGCTGTGCTCATACAGAAATTATGAAAGCGGCGAGAAGTGATCTGAAAGTGCATCAGTGCCTTTCACCCATTCCAGGGGAGAGCTGAGATTCAGTCTTTGTAAGCTTCTAAGCTGAAGCCTACCTCTGCTCTCAAATTATACCTGCCTTGAAACTAATACAATTACTTTATCAGAGCAGAACACTGATTTTAAAATGTGCACCCTATAAAAAGCTATATAATTTTAATATTACTGTTGTAAAATAAAATAAAACATATTTTAATAAATGTTGACCAAAGATCAGTTTGTTCTTTAAGGAAAAGATACTTATTTCACTTGTTTTAAATATTATAAATATTGGAATATAGTTCTCGGTGCTGACAGGCACAGCTCTACTTTATTTCTATGCAGATGCTGCCCTGCCCTATCAAGAGTGATGTTTTTAAGACTATATTATCAGTAGCTATGAAACTGAACTTGAAGACTACTCATGTACACCCTTCAGCTTTCTCACACACGTGCAGTTCCAGAACTACTAACAGGCTGTTGATCTGTCAGGGTATCTATATCTTGCCAACTTTAGCATTGTCAGATTTGAAAACTCTTATCTGTATTCACTGCTATAATATTAAATAAACTGGATGTAAGATGAAAATATTAACACTGCTTTTCTTTACTGTGGTATAAAGCTGTTAAAAAATATATATATATACATATATATATATATATATATTTTAACTTCTGTAAAAGCAAAGAACCATGTAGACCTGTAATTCAAATCAGAAAAAGTAAATCTGGAAAGCAGATGCTTCTATAAAAGAGAGGTTCTAGCTGTTTTCCTTTACACACTGAAGAAGCCTTCATGTATCTTTATACAGTGAATAGTGGAGAACGCTTTTGCATTCTTTATCCTTGAAAAAATGGTAAGATAGCCACAAAGAAGCTAATTAGCTTTGATTTGCTGGTATTAATGGGAGTGTTGACTTCCAGATCAGTATAAGTTGCAGTAGGCCCCACAGTTTTGTTTCCCTGTTGTCCAGATGGGGTAAGTACTGGAAGACACAGTGGTCATCTTCTGGCCCACGTGCTAGGTTTCATTCTCCTGAAAATCAGCTGAAACACTGCTGCAGGATGCACTAAGGCTTGGGCATGCTGAAGCCCCCAGTATAGACATAATCTGACTTGCTTATGATCAGGATTTCACTTGTTTCTCATTGCTGGTTAAGTGCAGAAGGAGAATGCAGAGTGTGCAAAGGAATTCAGTTTGAAAGTGGTTAAAGAATGTATATGCTCTTCCTATATAAGCATATTTTATTACTGTTACTCCTTATTTCTTTAAAACTGAAGGCTTTTTAAAGGAAAATGGGATTCTTGAAAGACTGATTTCTATATTGCCAAGTGTTCACAGAGTTTTAAAAGTGAAGCTGATGTGTTACTGGCTCAGACCCATCTGAAGATATCACCTGATAACACACATTATACTCTCACAAAGCTTGTGGACTTGTTTAACTGGATGCAAGCAAGATATCTGCTTGCATAAAGAAGTAAATGATATGTCCCCATGCTGGATGTTCACCCTTGATAGCGATGTCCCCTACAGCGTACTGAACTCATTGAGGAGAGCGGAAACGGAGCGATCTGGATTGCCGAGGTGGATTGCTTCAGCATGCAACCCCACCCTTTCTCACCAAAAGAGCCTGAAATTACCATACGAGCGTTAAAAATTTCTTGGTGTCATGTCAGGAAGTCCTTGTTCAGATGAACTTTCTACAGTTTCAGTAGCATTTTGCCTGAGAAAGGCACTCAGAATTTGATCTTCTTTCTCACTGCCTTCAATTTTTTTTTTTTTTAACTTCAGAAACAGTGGTGTAAAAGCAGAGATTCTACTGAAGTAAAAAGGTAGTAGCCCCCCCGGCTCCCGAATGCGGTCTGTCAGAGAGCTTTCAGGTGTTTTTTGAAGCTCTTTCTCACAACCATTTTGAAATAAACAATCACTCAGAACAAGCACAAGCTCAGCTTTTTTTTCTTTCTGACATGTCTATCTTCATTAAACTCCTTTTGTTTGTAAATCCCACTATAGCCACATTCACAACAAGGCAGAGGGAAAATGCTACAGATAAAAGCTTAAAATCCAGGAAGAAGGAATAAGCAAGGGTAGTATTAAGCAGACCAATCAAATATACTGTTTCTTTCTAATATATTTAATCAAGACAGTAATAAAGAGGTGGCTCAAAAGTTCTGATGCTGTGCTATACGTAAAATACAAGGATCTACCACAGGTTTTCTAGCCTGAAGCTGATTTCTGAAGAGATTAGGAAGGGTAAACACTGAAGCACAAAAACCCTATGAGCAACGTGGGAACAACCTTGTTTCTTTCCTTTCTCTCTGGCTGCCCTGTTTTGAGAATGGTGCAACAGTGGATACATGAACATGTTCTGTCCAGCCAGAAGGGAGGGAGGGGGAAAGAGAGAGACAGAGAGAGAGACAGACAGACAGAGATGCTGTGGCTAGCAACCTGAACAAGGGTGATAGATCAACATCACTTTAACGGTATTTTCAGAGGGTAAACTGTGAAGAAGAGGGTATTATGAATTCTACTGAAGACAGGAGTAAAATGCTCTAAGTATGCAAGAACAGAATAATTTTCCATCAGCATGCCTGTTGGAGCAGGTACTTTTGGATAATCAAGTTTTCCTACAGATTTGCTTTGCTTATGGATACAGGAACAAACTCCACCTCTGATTAATGTGCTTGAAAGGAATCCTTTCCTATCTGCTCTTAAACAAGGAATTAAAAGGGGGAAAAAAAAAAAAAAAAGACAGACAGACAGACAGACAGACTACCAGCCTAGAATAATCTACGGCAATATTAAACTATACTCTAGAATACATTAGCCATCTATCCACTAAAAATATCCAACCCCTTTTCCCCTTAAACTAGTCCGCAGAAGCAGAGGCCTCTTTCACAGCTTTAATCTGCCCATGGAAAACAAAAAGAAGGAAAAGCTAAATTTTGACATGGTCCTTTAGCCTGTTTGAAAAGCAAATCCTTTGTTTACATGCCTAAATGTGGATCTGGGAGCGTTAAGTGTCAACTTCCATTGTTTTAAAACTTAGTTTGATTTTTCCATAAAGACAAAGTGCTCTAAATGCCTAAGTATTTTTTTCTTCCACAACTGATGTTATACAAGACAGGAAAGCTATTCTGAGTAGGAAGTTATTTTTAAACAGACATTATTCTTTCTCAGAATCAGACTATAAGTTTCTGTCTACTTTTAATTGCTTTACAAAGTAAATTGAGCCCCTCTGGTTCTATAATTAATATCCACGTTTATCCCTATGTTGAGCCATTTACAGTTAAATTCATTTTTTAAAACTGGCTAGGAGTTAAGAGATGCATTTAATCCCTGCTGAAAACTGAACTTTGTAAAACATCCAGAGTTTTTCCAGTGAAGGACTCGGACAGTACAGAGAAATATGTCCTGTAACTAACTGAGACAAATAGAGAATGGAGCTGCTAACACGGGGCTTGAACCAAATGATCTAAGCAGGTCTGCCCTCCCATATACTCTTATGTTCATATTCAAAAGCAAAATGACATCACAACTATATTATCTATTTCACTGCTTGAAAAAAAAAAAATCCAAAGAAAGTAGAAATTTAAAGATTACACCTTAAAACTGTAGGCACTGTGGTATATAAATCTAACTAAGAGTTATTTTTTTAAAAGGCACACCTTTTTAAATTGACTTCAGTGCAATTTTTAAAAAGTGTTTGATAAGCCTTCGGGTGGATTCCCTCCCAGCAAAAGCTTTGTTTTTAAGATGCTGTGATCTCCTGAATGTTTTACAACCTTTAGCAGAGTGCCTTTTAAAGATAACATGCTGCTTAATGAGGAGAAAAACGTCAGCTTTACTGCTTCCAATAGCTCCCTCTCGTGGTTCTTTGCTCACACTTCATCCTCATCAGTGAGCAATGAGACATTTCAGTTTTGTCTCAGGTTGAAACATCAATGATATAAAACCGAGACAACTGATCGCAAAGTACAGGTGAAAACTCCCTTTCTTGCCGATATGACGAAATTCTGCTATCGATTATGCTGAGCTTAAAAATATGAAGTTTCACAGGCTTCAGTTGACAGTACTGTTAGTAATAAAAGTATAAATGTTTATACGGTTAATCTTTTCTCAGGACTGACACTTTTGAGCTCAACTGTTTTGCTGAAATAAAGTTCAGTTATCTTGTCTACGATGCTGAAAAGTTTCCTGTTAGCATATTGTTCATGCATATTAATATCCTCAAGAAGGGCCTAAAAGCTTCTATCTTTTTCCTAACTATACCTGCTCATTTGGATAAGAGGTCTTACCTCCACTTCTTGAAGACATCTATCCCCAGAACACCTTCTTGGAGACATGGCAGGGAGCTAAGGCACAGTTAGGGAAGAGTGTTTCACTTCTTGTCTGTAGTATGTGGTGCAGAGGTACTAGCGCAATCTCTAAATGAGTAAGGTCACACTGGAAAGACTTCGAGGATGGGATTCACCTGCACAAATATTTGAGGTCTACTTCTAGATTCTCATCTCAACTAGATGCCTATCTAGCAGACAATTTATCTCATCAAGGCGATCTCTGAAATAAGCTAGATGAAGCATGTTCCAAAAAGGCATTAAGTTGTCCACCAACTATAAAGATAATTAGGAGTGGAGAGCTCTAAAGTTAGGTTAAATGAATCATGTTCCAAATATGGCCTTTTGGGGCTCTCTGCTAGCTATGTTGCCCTTCTTCAGCCCTACAGGGCCTATCTGTCCTACTTTATAAAGTCAACTGAGCCCATATGCTTAGACAATTAATATCTTACTTGGACTGACCACTGGGGTCATTTAATGCTAACTTTATTTCATATGACTGATCAGGAAGCTGCATTACATTTGATCCTCACTGAACTTCATGAAATACCCTAAAATCCAGCCACCATATGTTAAATTAAAGGATGTACTGAAATGAAGCCGAGGTAAGTTAACCGAGTACTGCCACAGACTGCTTCCAAGCTAGCTCATTAAAAACTAACTAGCAGATCTTGATGCTTCACTGCAGTCTGCAGCATAGACATATGCTAAATGTCTTGCCTATAGTAACTCAAAAGGTCTAAGGTGGAGCACAAAGTTAAATCAGGTCTTCTGAGTCCCAAGCTAGCGATTGAACTAATAGATGGTTTTCTGTCCTGGAAAATATGTATCAGCAATGTGC